CCAGTTAGAGATTCGACCCATTAACAAAGAACCAAGTGATTGATTAGGTGGGATTGGATTAGGCCCCAGCTTAGAGATTGGAACTATTAAACTAGTCGACTATTCTCCACGTTATCACCTGCATATAGTGAGTTGGGGGTGGGGGGGACACAGCAGGGTCAGGAAACGTGAGGGGGAATTTTATGTCCCTCCCACCACATCATAACACACACCGATAGCCAATCAGGTCACACACGCACCAGCCAGTCAGGTCACGTGATGGGAGAGGTGAGCGAACGACGCATTAAACGGTAAATCCGTCTTTATCTCCTTCATCACTGCCGAGCGAAGGGAGGAAGGAGTGAAACAGGGAGGAGTGGGGGAGGAAGGGAGAAAAGGAGGAACGAAAGAGAGAGAGGAAAGGGAAGGGAGGGGAGGAAAGAGAGGAAAAAATATAAGGATGAAGGAAGGAAGTCCAGCAGCAGGTGAAGAGTCAGCAGGTGCAGCAGAAGGCCTCGAAGGGGTTAACACCTCGGCACTTTTATGGCCTCTTGGACCTCTTAAGACTCCAAAAACCTGGTCTCGTCAAGTGCCAACCTGGGTGTGGCACTTGGCAGGGTGTGACACTTGGCAGGTGTCCATCTTAGGGTATGGTACCTGGTAGGGTGTGGCATTTGACAGTGGTAGGGGGTGTGGCGCGTGGCATGGGTAGGGGTGTGGCACGTGGCAGGGCGTGGCACTGGTGAGGTAGGGGTGTGGCACTGGTAGGTAATAGGGGGTATAGGGCATTGGTACCACCTACCACGACACAACACCACCTACCACGACCACAACACTACCTACCACAACACTACCACCCACTACACAACACACCTACCACTACCACAACACCACCACCCACAACACCTACCACACCACAACACCACCCACCACACCACAACACCACCTACCACCACTACCACAACACCACCTACCACGACCACAACCCCACCTACCACTAACACAACACCACCTACCACTACCACCCAGCACCACCTACCACGACCACAACACACCTACCACTACCACAACACCACCTACCACTACCACAACACACCTACCACGACCACAACACCACCCACCACAAACACCTACCACAGACTGACAACACCACCTACTTTAAAATACTACCACCACCAACCACAATATATTCACAACAGATCTCATGTCCCCGCCACAATTTGTACAGAAGTTTTAGTAGTGTATTGTGTGTGTGTGTGTGTGTGTGTGTGTAGAAGCTGGTCATGACAACACCAAGCAACACACTCTTTCAAAACACGTGTAAACAATAACACCTGTAAAGAAATGAACATCACACCTGTAAACAATAAACATACACACATGTAAGCAATAGCAAACACCTGTAAACAAAAACACATCTGTAAATAATAACACACACATGTAAACAATAACACACCCATGTAAACAATAACACACACATGTAAACAATAACACACCACATGTAAACAATAACACACCCTTGTAAACAATAACACACCTGTAAAATACACATGTAAACAATAACACACATGTAAACAATAAACAAACACTCGTGACCACAACTGGAACAAGTCGGGAATGTAACACTCATTTATTTGCTGTTTTTTTTTTTTTTTTTTTTTTTTTGAGGTCCAGTCACGGAGAGCAACAACTCTGATGGAACCTGTACCGAACACGAGTGACAGGGTACAGTTGTTTGGGATTGATTAGACTAAATACATAATACCAAGATACTGTAAAATCTGTGTACATATCAGTGACTGTAGAACTAGACTGTATACGAAAATGACTGTAGACTGCACAAGTTCTAACCCAGTGTTTTGTTTGTGTTTGTGTGAGGCAGTGTGAGGCAAGGTGAGGCAGGGAGGTGGGAGGGAAGCAGGGAGAGGCAAGGTGGAGGCAGGTGAGGGGAGGTGGGAGGGGGAAAGGTGGGGAGAGGCAAGGTGAGGCAGTGTGGAGAGGTGGGGAGGTGAAGAGAGAGGTGAGGGAGGCAGTGTGTGAGGGAAAGGGGGAGGTGAGAGGGGGAGGCAGTGTGAGAGGGGTGAGGCAGTGTGAGAGGCAAGGTGAGGCAGAGAGGCAAGGTGAGGCAGTGGAGAGAGGCAGTGTGAAGGTGAGGCAGTGAGGAGAGGCAAGGTGAAGTGGAGGAGAGGCAAGGTGAGGCAGTGTGAGGCAAGGTGAGGCAGGGAAGCAATGTGTGTGTGTGTGTGTGTGTGTGTGTGTGTGTGTGTGTGTGTGTGTGTGTGTGTGTGTGTGTGACAATGTCCGCGTCACTGTAAATATATACATGTAAAAAAATATATCACAGAATTCACTTTTTTTTTTACACATATTTCAAAAAAGTAAATAAAATCAGTACTATCCGTCAGTTCAGTGTAACAACCAGGCGCTGATACAAACAAACAAATATACAAATAAATTAATTTTAGGTAATGTTTTTGTTATATTTACTTCATTGTTAGTGTAATTGATTCGCTGTAAATACGTTTGGTTAATTTACTTGTTCACGTAATATTATTGAAAAATGCTATGAGGTGAATTATTTTGTTTTATAAATATCTGCTCAGTTTTTGTCTCTCGAAGTCTGTCTGTCTGCCCTCTGTCTGTCTGTCTGCCTGTCTGTCTGTCTGTCTGTCTGTCTGAGTGTGTTGAACGTAGTGGTGGCCTCTTCGTCTTCTTTTATTCCTTCTATACTCCTTTCATTTCTTCCTCCTCCTCCTCCTCATTTTCTTCCTCCTCTGTCTTCCTCCAACTCTATCTTCTTCCTCTTTATCTTCCATTCACTTCTTCCTCTTGCCATTCTCCTCCTTTCCTTCCTCCTCCTTCCTCCTCCCTCCCCCACAGGACACAGGTAATATTGGTGACAGGTGTTGTGTTGGGGTTCATTAGTGATATTACTTGGTGATGAGGAAAGGCAGGTCACCACTCTCCCACACGTCACCAGGATAGGCAGGTCACCACTCCCACACGTCACCAGGATAGGCAGGTCACCACTCTCCCACACGTCACCAGGATAGGGAGGTCACCACTCTCCCACGTCACCAGGATAGGCAGGTCACCACCTCCCACACACCACTCTCCCACACGTCACCAGGATAGGCAGGTCACCACTCTCCCACACGTCACCAGGATAAAGCCAGTGACCACTCTCCCACGTCACCAGGATAGGCAGGTCACCACTCTCCCACACGTCACCAGGATAGGCAGGTCACACTCTCCCACACGCCACCAGGATAGGCAGAATGTGTGTGTAGGTGAGCGCGCGCGTGTTTGTGGTCGACTGTGTATTTATACTCTTAGTGAGGGGAAAAGAGAGGGGAGGAGAGAGAGGGGAGGGAGGAAGAGAGAGGGGAGGGAGGAAGAGAGAGAGGGAGGGAGGAAGAGAGAGGGGAGGGAGGAAGAGAGAGAGGGAGGAGGAAGAGGGGAGGGAGGAAGAGAGAGAGGGGGGAGGGAGGAAGAGAGAGGGGAGGGAGGGAGAGAGGGGGGAGGGAGGAAAGAGAGAGGGGGAGGAGGAAGAGAGAGAGGGGAGGGAGGAAGAGAGAGGGAGGAGGAAGAGAGAGGGGGAGGGAGGAAGAGAGAGAGGGGAGGGAGGAAGAGAGAGGAGAGGGAAGGAGGAAGAGAGAGGAGAGGAAGGGATATAGAGAGGTTGATATGTAGTATTTGTTTGTTTATTTTTGTTTGTTTTTTTTTACACACCTGTCTGTACATACCAGTACGTGATGACATTTAAAGGTCTAACAGGTGTGTAGGTGAGTGATCTACACACACACACACCACCACCCAACCACCAACACAACCACCACCCAACCACCACCAACACAACCACCACCCAACCACCACCAACACAACCACCACCCAACCACCACCAACACAACCACCACCAACACAACCACCACCAACACAACCACCACTGCCACCAACACAACCACCACCCAACCACCACCCAACCACCACCCACCAACACAACCACCACCCAACCACCAACACAACCACCACCCAACCACCACCAACACAACCACCACCCAACCACCACCAACACAACCACCACCCAACCACCACCAACACAACCACCACCCAACCACCACCAACACAACCACCACCAACACAACCACCACTGCCACCAACACAACCACAACCACCACCCAACCACCACTGCCACCAACACAACCACCACCCAACCACCAACACAACCACCACCCAACCACCAACACAACCACCACCACCACCACCAACACAACCCCACCCAACCACCACCCAACCTACCACCAACACAAACCACCACCCAACCACCACTGCCACCAACACAACCACCACCCAACCACCACCACCAACACAACCACCACCCAACCACCACCAACACAACCACCACCAAACACAACCACCACTGCCACCAACACAACCACCACCCAACCACCACCACCACCAACCAACCACCACCAACACAACCACCACAACCACCACCACAACCACCACCCAACCACCACACCCAACCACCACCAACACAACCACCACCACCACCAACCACCACCACCACACCAACACACAACCACCACCACCCACCACCCAACACAACCACCACCAACCACCACCAACACAACCACCCCACACCAACCACCACCCAACCCCACCACCAACACAACCACCACCCAACCACCACTGCCACCAACACACCACCACCCAACCACCACCACCAACACAACCACCACCCAACCACCACCAACACAACCACCACACCCAACCACCAACACAACCACCACCAACACAACCACCACCCAACCACCACCACCACCAACACAACCACCACCAACACAACCACCACCACCACCACCACCACCACCAACACAACCCCCACCCAACCACCACACCCAACCTACCACCAACACAAACCACTCACCCAACCACCACTGCCACCAACACAACCACCACCCAACTACCACCACCAACACAACCACAACTAACACAACCACCACCACTACTACCCGGTGTTATGGGGACGATATAGCAAACAGCAGGAGCAGCAACGGTAACAGGAGGAGCAGCAACGGTAACAGGAGGAGCAGCAACGGTAACAGGAGGAGCAGCAACGGTAACAGAAGAGCAGCAACGGTAATAGCAGCAGCAACGGTAATAGTAGGAGCAGCAACGGTAACAGAAGGAGCAGCAACGGTAACAGGAGGAGCAGCAACGGTAATAGCAGGAGCAGCAACGGTAACAGAAGGAGCAGCAACGGTAACAGGAGGAGCAGCAACGGTAACAGAAGGAGCAACAACGGTAACAGAAGGAGCAACAACGGTAACAGCAGGAGCAGCAACGGTAATAGCAGGAGCAGCAACGGTAACAGAAGGTGCGGCAACGGTAACAGCAGGAACAGCAACGGTAACAGCAGACATATCAGCAGTTAACAGCACTATGGCCGTTGGATGGTCACGCACTCTCCTCTACAGACTGGATAATGAGGCGACAGCAGTAGTAGTGGTATTAAGCGCAGTGAAGCGGTAACTGCGCTCTATGACGGGTGGGGGTCAGCAGTAGTAGAAGCAGTAATGATTGTGGTGGTGGTAGTGCTAGTAGTGGTGGTAGTGGTAGTAGTAATAGCACCATGGACAACCTTATCACCACACACACACACTATAATTGCTTTCTTATCAGTAACTCTGGGGTTAATCACCATCATTTAACTACACACAACAAACACACTCTCTGATACCTCCAGTTTTTCCTTACTTAATTTGCTTCACATTTTACTGCGGAATTTTGTCTTATTTTCCGCTATTTTTGACGAGTAAATTTGGGTTATTTTTGTATTATAATGAATTGTGGTGGTTTGCTGGGTTCGGTTCGGCTGGGTTCGGTTGGGTTCGGTTCGGTTTCGTTTCGTTTCAGTTTTTTTTTTTTAAGTTTTTTTGGGTGGTTTATTGGCGTTTATGATTGGTGGTTTAATATTGGTGATGGAGGGATGTTGGTTTAGTGGTTTAAGGCCGTTTAATATTATCGATGTTCTGAACTAATAAGTTAAATTTAAAACAACAGAAAAATATCTCTTAAAATCCTGTTATATTTTATTTTTCTTACGTCAAGGCTGTCAAAAAAAACACTTAAAAACATAAAACAAACATATCATTATCTTTTTGTGGTTTGAATAATATTTTAAGTATTTTTAGCTCTTTATATAACTATTACTCATAAACATTACACTCGGGTTGGTTTAGTAATCACTATATAAAGGCGATTTAAAACTGGGTGCGTGTATGGCGGGGAGTGAGTAGTGAGTTGAGTGCGTGGTGCGGCACTATACAACAAGGCCATCATCTTCAGTATAGTGTCCATCCCCCACCCCCACCCCCCCCAACCCATCTCATTAACGACTTCAAGGATTACATGACAACAAATGAGACTTAAGACGGATGGCATTCTCTTGATTACTGCCGCAGGATAGGGAGGTAAGAGCCGGTAGTGTATGGTGAGGGAGGTAAGGGCGGGTAGTGTATGGTGAGGGAGGTAGAGGCGGGTAGTGTATGAGTGAGGAGAGAACAGGTAAGAGTGGGGAGGGAAGGAGGAAAGGGAGAGAGAGGAGTGTAAGGAGGAGGAGGAAATGAGGGAAGGTGGTGGGTGATGTATGTGAGGGAGGGAGGGAGGTGATGTATGGTGAGGGGAGGTGATGTATGGTGAGGTGATGTATGGTGAGGGAGGGAGGTGATATGTTGAGGAGGAGGTGATGTATGGTGAGGGAGCTGATGTATGGTGAGGAGGTGGTGGTGGTGTACGTAAGGAGGGAGGGAGAAGAGGAAAGGAAGGAAGAACGGAACGGAACGGAACGGAACGGAACGGAACGGAACGAACGGGAACGGAACGGAGGTGTTGGGTAGTGAAATTACCTTTACCTGATTCACCTGTCCAACCTCCACTACCTCACACCTCACCACCACTACCCCTCCACCACTCCAACACCACCACCTCCCCTAACACCCACCACCACCTCACCTAACACCACCACCACCTCACCCTAACACCACCACCACCTCACCACTACCACCCACCACCACCACCACCACCTCACCCTAACACCACCACCACCACCTCACCACTACCACCTCACCCCAACACCACACCACCCACCACTACCACCCACCACCACCACCACCTCACCACCACCACCACCTCACCACCACCACCACCCACCCCACCACTACCACCTCACCACCACCACCACCACCACCTCACTAACACCACCACCACCACCTCACCACTACCACCTCACCCCAACACCACCACCACCTCACCACTACCACCTCACCACCACCACCACCCCACCACCACCACCTCACCACCACCACCACCACCACCCACCACCACCTCACCACCACCTCACCCTAACACCACCACCACCTCACCACACCACCACCTCACCCCTAACACCACCACCACCACCTCACCACTACCACCTCCACCACCACCACCACCTCATCACCACCACCTCACCACCACCACCACCACTACCACCTCACCTCACATCCCACTACCACGACCTCTGCCCAAAACACCCGCCTGGTCCATGTCGTGTGGTGGTGTAACAAGAACCAACCTAAATTGAGGCAGGTAATCCCACCACCCAACTTTGACTCCTCACCAAACTCTGTACACAGTGGCTGGGACCTCACTCTCTTGTCTTGGGTTAACCTTCACTAATTTCAACTTGGCTCAACTCAAACGCCAGGCGAGAGGAACTAAACGCCTGGCAGAATTATCTAATCCACCCCCCTCCCTTCCTCCCCAAAAATGGTGGATTGGCCTTCCCCTCTCTCTGCCTCCTTTCTCTCCTTCGTCTCTCCCCCTCCCTCCCACTAGTATTTTTTCTGAAGGATTATAATTATTTAGTATGTTTGTGGGTGGGGTTTTGGTGGGGGGTTAATAGCTTTGAAGGAAGGTGGAAAATTTGGTTAATCTTTATGCTTGATCTCTCTCTCTCTCCCCCCCCTCTCTCTCTCGCGCGGTGGTCGTGCTTGTGGTGTGCCATGTTAGTGTGTGGTCAGTAGTACTAGGTAGTAGTGAGTACTGTTTTGGTAGTAGTCGTAGTAGCGCTGGTAGTATTTGTGGTAATACTGGTAGTAGTGGTGGTGGTGATATGTGGTAGTAGTGGTGGTGAGAAGTGTGGTAGTAGTCGTGGTAGTGGTGGTAATACCGGTGGTGATAATGGTGGTAGTAGTGGTGATAGTGGTGGTAATGGTGGTGGAGGCGTTGCGTGTGGTCAGGTAGCCCCAACACACGTTATATTTCCCAGACGTCGACTTATGCAAATCACATCAGATTGGTCTTTGTTTTGTGTGTGTGTGTGTGTGTGTGTGTGTGTGTGTGTGTGTGTGTGTGTGTCACACCTTGATGACTTTCTTCAGTTAAACCAATACTGTTTTATTAAAGGACTGTTTTATCCTCGCGTTAATTAAAGTTTAATTCCCAAAAACACAAACACAAACTGGATTGTATAATTACTTCAAATTGAGTTATTATTTTTTGTTACAATTATACGTAATTAGACTCCCGGGGTCACCAGTATTAAAAGAAAATAATCCCCTTTTGGAGACTAGTTAATTTCCCACATTCTCCTACGGTATTATCACAAGACTATCACTCGAGGTTGATAGTTTTAATTATACTCGAAAAGTTATAGTATTGTTTATTATAGAAATTCAATCAGACTCGTGGTGGTGGTTAGTAATGGTGAGTAGTTTGGTGGTGGTGGTGATAGACATGATACAACACAATAACAATCCTAACAATCGTATTTCATCATACTCTTCATATATTATTCATCATATTTCATCATCATACTTACAAGCTCAAATATACACAACCAACCCTCACAACCCCACCCCCCCACTCCCCCCAACCCACCCACCCCTCTCTCCCATCCCACCCACCCCCTCTCCTCCCATCCACCCCCCACTCCCCCAACCAACCCCTCCCCCAACCCACCTCCCTCCCCAACCCACCTCGAGCATTATACCTTTGTGAATACGGTATAGCCTTAAAGTATACTATCATTCTACTTATCATACTTAATAAGGCTAACTACCTCCTCACTATCATGCTACCTGAGAGCCTGAGGGAATTTTTATACTGAATTCATATTTTTATTTTTATTTTTTACTCAGGTCGTTATTTACTCTTATACGATAATTGGTATATAATAATAGGTAGTTTTTATATATTTTTAAGTTCTATATGCAGGAATTTTTATAGTTGTGGGGGAGATCAGTTGTCAGGAGGTGGTGTGTCAGGATGTGGTGTGGTCAGGGTGTGTGGTCAGTAGTGATGTGGTCAGAGTGATGTGGTCAGGAGTGATGTGGTCAGGAGGTGGTGGGTGGTGTGTGGTCAGGAGGTGTGGTGTGTGGTCAGGAGGTGTGGTGTGGTCAGGGGTGTGGTGTGGTCAGTAGTGATGTGGTCAGGGTGTGGTGTGTGGTCAGGAGTGAGGTATGTGGTCAGTAGGGAGGAGGAAGAAAGAGAGACAGGGGCTTACATCCCAGGGAGGAGGAGGAGGGAGGGAGGAAGACCAGGAGGAGGAGGAGGAGGGGGAGGAAGACCAGGAGGAGGAGGAGGAGGGAGGAAGACCAGGAGGAGAAGGAGGGGGGAGGAAGACCGGGAGGAGGAGGAGGAGGAGGAGGAGGAAGGGAGGAAGACCAGGAGGGAGGGACCAGCCACTCACTTTGTCTCCATCAGGAAGCATCGATTACCCATTAGTTGAAGCAGGTACTACATTACCCCTCGGACCCCTCCCCTTCCCCCCTTCCCCTTCCCTCCTTCCTTCCCCCCCTTCCTCCTCCTTGCCTGACCACCTGCTGGGGCGTAGGTGGTGGTGTGGTGGGGGGTGGTAGATAGATAGATAGTTGTGGGGGTGGTGGTAGGTATTCGTTGGTGGTTGGTAATGGTGGTAGTAACGACGGGTAGATGTGGTAGTGGTGGTTAATAACAAGTGGACTAGTGCACCAGGTAGTCTAGTATCATGCTAGTAGACAAGTGACGTGGTTGTATGTTAGTTCTACAGCTATTTAGTACCACACACCTGACACACTACAGGTTATGAACGAATACTACATACAGGTAAATCCTCCTCCACCACCCAGGTAAACTGCTCACCGTTATCACAGCTGTCTCTTACTGTAACGAAATTGGCACTAGGACATAATGTAATAGGGATGTATAGGGCATGAAATTGGAGTAGGACATTATAATAGGGTTTTACCAGGTGAGAAATTGGACTAGGACATAATGTTATAGGGCTTTACCAGGTGAGAAATAGGGACTCGGGTGTTAAGGTATTAGGGAATAAACTTGTCATAAGGCGAAACTATTATTACCTGTGTTAAGTTATGGCGGTGGGGGGTGAGGGAAGGGG